GGCTTGCCGTATCCCTGAGGAAAAATCCCGCGGAAGCCCCGAAGTACGGAGATTGACAGAAAGGGGGTTTTCCTTCTTTTTGCTTTTGTTTTCTTTTTGAAACGGCTTTTTCATTTTGTTTGGTTAATAACTCCCGCACGGGAGAATAGCGGCCGCGGTATGAAAAGCAAGAAACGGTTTCGGTTGGAACCTTTTTTTTCTTAATTTTTGCGCGCGTGTCTCGCACCCCCGTTCCTTGTTTTGCATCCCCGTGCCATCTTCCCTTCTTGTTGTGCGCGTTTTCCCCATACAGGACTCTTCGTCTTCCCCTCCGCCCAACTCGATCCTTACTCCGCGAAGTGATTGGCCGCGTAGTTGGGATGCTCGGATCAATGTGGAGAGCGGGAAACCGCGCACCACTTGGAACGGACACCCCAATCACGCAGGACCATGCCATCCCGCAGGTCGAACCCTCTAACTCCCCACCTCCCTCCTGTCCTGCTCATCTACAACCTGCGCTGCCCGCACCTCGCGCTGACAACCCGCCGCCTCCCGCACTATAAATTTGCACAACCCTCTGCTCTCTCTCTTTTTTATCTTGGCTGCAATGCTGCGCGAGCTATGCGCGAAGTCCGCGGCGCCGAACAGGCCCGACGAGCCCAAGGACAGGCGGAGTGACGACGCGGGGTGGGCCCGCGGTAATCTCGGGGCGACGCAGTCGGAGGTACTGAGCAGTGGTGGGGATTGGACGCCGGCTGCGGCAGGGCCTTGTGGCTATGGTGGTCGGTTGTTTTGGGAAGTTTTGAAGGCGGCGCCTAGGGGCGGCCGCTAATTGAGAATTTTTGTGTACTAGAAGGACTCGCTTTTATCTCCATTGCTGCTTTGTCTATGCATGACGTGTGTGTGAAGCCCCGAGTGATGGGAGCTGGTTGTGCTCATGAGTGATGTCGACGGTCTTTGGATGATTGGATGTCCTTTCAAGGGTTGTTGATTGCATGCATGTATGTGTGTATGTACTTATYCGGGCGGGGACGGGGGAACCGAACTGGAGGACCGTCTGCTAAGGAGTATGAGTGTGTTGATCCTGTTGTTCCCSTCCCCTCTGCGGCCTTTCCTGYGCGCACACGCAGTCTCGGTGTAACTCATTCTCTCTCTCTCCCTCGCCTTTCTTTTTGAACTGATAGTCATCGCTTTTGGAACTTCTCATCCCCGTACCGGTGACGTCAACCGCCTGCGTCCGCGCGCGCAGTCGACGCCCCCGCAAGGGGAAGAGAGCCTTGGCTCCGCCATCTTCCTCCGACGCACTAACCCTGAGAGAGAAGGTTGCATCGAGTGTTGTATGGAGTCAATGTTGGTTCGGATGACCGGGAGCGCGGGATCTTGCCCGTGTTCATCGCCTACCTCCGATCGTCTCATCTCGCTACCGACCTTCCCCATCACAGATGACGACTCCGTCTACTGCGATGCGGACGTACGGCGCGCGCTGAGGCGAACGGAGCCCGTGTGTTGGCGAGACCCGCTTCGGGCTTGTGATATAAGGGGGAACGGGTTCGTCTTGATTGAGCGTTTTGATTCCCTGGTCGGCTGCTCACGCCGCGTGGCGGCCGCAGTTTGATTGTCGCTGGTGTCGCCAGGGGGACTCGTGTTCTTGGCGACGGCTGGTCCTGGGCTACGAGGGAGCGACACGTTTCCCCGAGCTTTCCCGTAATGCAGGGGCGCTGCCCGCGCAATTTCGAATTCGGATGCCGGCGAGTCCTCCCGCCGTTTCGCCCTCTCGGGAACTTCCGCGCGGACTTTGCGAGTCCGACGCCGAGGCCTGAAGGCTTCGAACCCACCACCTATCCCCCGAACCCATGACGGCCGGAGTTTTTGTCGTCCACCGCCATGGCCCCCTCCCCTTGATGCCTTTTTCCGTCCTGATGCACGACGGCAATTCATTTTCGCGGAAACCCTTCTGATTTGATCGTTTCGGAGTGATCCGACCCCCACGGGACTTCGGGACGACAGTTCGACTCCGGGAACACCTCTGGCACGAAACGAGGGCCTCCCGTTCTGTCCGGGAGACTCAACCCTCACGGCCAAAAATCCTCGGCCACGCCCCTCCTAGAACTCTGAACGGCGACCCAGTGCGGGAAGCTGCGAGGGGGCGTGAGGTTGCGTATCACAGTCCTGAATGATGATACCTTGTAGCCCCGTCTTCTACGCACTCATACTCATACAAGGAAGTCCTCCCTAGAGCCCCCCGGGGAGGCTGTTCTTTTGCTAATATCCATATTTTTTCCTTCCTTTCACTGCTCAGGTAACCCCCCCTTCTACGGATCGGGGCAGTCAATGCTGGCTGTCTGAGAATCCTGAGCAAGAGAGTATGGGAGGTTGGCAGGGGGGGAGGAACTAGTGTGTAGCAGTAGGTATCTGGCGCCGGCTTGCAGGGTGAAGAGGCTCCTCCTCCCTTCCAGTATCCTGCTCAGTTAATCCCCTGGATCCCAGGGCAATCAATGCTGGCAGGAACCCCCCCCACACAACTGTTTTTTCTGATGTATTCCAAATTCAGTCTGTACAAGGGATGCTGGACCCGTTTTCCAGCAGGTGATGCTCCCCACCAATAGATGGAGCCTATCCCCAGGTGCTAGTGGTGTCTGCTCTCATCAGCACCACTAACACCGGTGGGGCTAAGTTAAAAAAAAAAAAAAAAAAAAAATCCTGTTTTTGGAAGTTAAATTCTTAATCTTTTCTTTAATGTGTCCCATTGAGATGTGATGTCTGCTTGAATTTGTTGTTTAATTGAATCTGTAAATTTTGGGTCATTAAGCCATACCGCTTGCATCTCAAATGTTCAGCGCCGGCACCATAAAGCCCAAATAATTGCCCTCCTACTCGTTTTCAACTTTGCTACTCAAAGATACCACATCTCTAACTCTTGGTTTTTTTTGTTTTTTTTTTTTTGGAACTTCGAGTCGCGGATACCACTTAGGGAGGCGATAAGAGCAGCCTCCCTAAGTGGGTCCCCGGTTGAAGGCTCCGTCTATTGGTGGGAAGCTGCACCTGCTGGAAACTGGGTCCAGCGTCCCTCGTATTACAGGACATATCAATGACTGACAAATGTTTAGACAACCGACATATGTTGGCAGAGTTCACTGTCCTTCCTGTTGCCTGTTCCCCTGAGGCGTGGTGTGGGCAGGTGTACACGACTTGAGATGGCAGGGTTTTTGGGCCCTTCGTGTTTGCTGATGATAGGGAGTAGTGAGGTCGGTGCCGGCTGCGGCCGTAGAGAGTCTTTGCAGAGTGAAAGGTGAGGTTCCCCCCCCATTTAGCCCCTGTACCAAGGGGAGTGTAGCCACCATTCCCATCTGCTATCATGTAGTTGTAGTCTACCGTGGGCAGCTTTCGACCTTCCGCTGTCCTCTTTGTATGCACTCGCAGAATCTTGCGTTTCTCATTCACGTCTTCTGTAGTGCAGCTGTTGCTTGTCTGTCCCGCTTGGCTTGTGGGTTTGAGCTGGAGCTGCCCGGCCCGTGCTGGATGGGTGAAACTCGAGGTGAACACTGATAGGGGGCAGAGGGTGGCGGAGGGGTGAGCGGGGGGGAGTCCGGGGGTAGGGG